GCTACTAGGGGCTCCTGGCCTTACTACTAGGAGCAAGGACGCTACTAGGGGCAATTAAGCATATGGACTCTTTGGACTCTTTGGGTCTTCGCTTCGAGTTAAGCTTGGAGCAGCAGGCAACAGCCCTGTCGCAGCAGGCTGGATGTGGGGTGGATGGGAGCCTAGGCGGTGACAAACTCTTGACTCACTTGACGCCTCGGCCCGCAAGAAAGCTAGTTGCAAAAAGGATGAATTTGATGACATGTGAGTCTCATGGACCATTGGGTCAAGAGATTGTTAACTTTGTTGCAAAAGGCCCATGCTGAAGGTTTTGATTTTAACTTACCCCTCAGACTTTGTTTGCCATTTGTTGCTTCAACCAGAATGACAACTCAAATGACGGATGTGTGCCTGCTTCAGGTAGCTTTCCTGGCGCCTTTGCCTTTACTGTTCAGGCGCACTCTTGACCTACTGAGAAATGTAGGCCACAAGCAAGGATTGGTCCTCTGCCAGGGGGGAGATCAAGCGTGGTCGACAGGCGCGACCAATGCAGACTGGCGACAATCCAGTGCTGCGTGCATCCCTCTCACAGAGTAGGCTACAAGATGCTATCATGAAAGTGCAAGTGCCAAGGAAAGAAGCAAGTTGAAGCGAGTGACGATTTTGGCACTAGAGACTTTGGCTCAATCCTCAAGGTGTTCAAGAGATCCTTTGTTCAAGAGGTTCTTTGCAATGCCCAGTGGTCCGGCGTTGGTTGCGGAACAGCAATGGGAGCCTGTCATGTGGCGAAAGAGTACCCCTAGTGGTCAGGCTGCCAAAAGCACCACAGCCGTGAACCAAGCACGTCGGCGGGGAGAGAATGTTGAGACTTCCAAAAAAGTGAACTCGGGCAACCGAGTGCACGTGGTTCCAAACGCTCGGAAGCTGCTTGGCACAAATCCCCCTCATTGAGCCAAGAGCATTTGCCAGGCATGAACATTCAAGAAGTATATCTTTATATATGTTTACGTTGTATGTTGATCATTGGAAGTGTGGAGTGATTTCAGTCCTCTCGGTGTTAAGGGCCAGCCAAGGCTAGATGAACATGCAGAGACTTTTCGTCATCAGGCGGTCTCGCATGACTTCAAGCTCGCCCTTCAGCAGGCACGCCTGGCAAAGAAGTGGACCCAAGCAGAACTTGCTGCAGCCGTGAATGAGAAAGCCTCAGTGGTGAACGAATATGAGTCGGGCCGCGCCATTCCTCATGGTGCTGTAGTGGTGAAACTCAGCCG